AACATTTTTTGTTTTAAGTTTCTTTACTAAAGCATTTCTCAGAGCCTTTAATATGTTAAAGTGCATTGGGCTTTCGGCTTTTGGCCTGAGAGATGGCCAAGGTGCAGCTTTCTTTGGTCATCCCGAACCCGGTTCATCCAACACCAGCGGCCTCCACCATTCCCCTGAAGTTCCAAGGAGACCAAAGTCATATACCTGAGGTGCACTGGTGGGGAAGTCGGGGCCGTGTCTGCCCTAGACCCCAAGAGCGGTCCCCTGGGTCTGTCTCCAAAAAAGTGACGACATCACCAAAGCAACTGATGATTGGAATGGTCTGAGAATTACAGTGAAGCTGACCATTTAAGTCAGATAGGCCCAAAGTGAGGTAGTGCCTTCTGCCCTGATCATCAAAGCTGTTAAAGAACCACCCAGAGCCAGAAAGAAGCACAGTGGAAATATCACTTTTGATGAGATTGTCAACATTGCTCAACAGATGTGACACCGATCTTTAGCTAGAGAACTCTCTGGAACCATTAAAGAGATCTTGAGGACTGTCCAATCCGTGGGCTGCAATGTTGATGGCCGCCACCCTCATGACATCATAGATGGCATCAACAGTGGTGCAGGGGAATGCCCAGCTAGTTAAGAACTACAAAGGAAAATATTTCCATTAAAAATAATTTGACAACAAAAATAAAATGCTTTGGAAATCAACTGAAAGGGATTTTGCAGGTTTTTTACATATTTTTAACTAAAAAATATTTAGAAATTTTTTTTTGAGGTGAACCCCTTGGAACTAGTGTTTTGTAGGGAATTCTAGATAATGCCTCTCTCATCAAAGAAAATAGTTTTCTGTACTCACAACTTTTTATTGCAGGCAAGCTGCAACCATGTACACACCAGTCCTTTCCCAATCTTGCTGGACTTGAGGGCATTCCAATAATAGCTCCTCTCTTCCCCTGATAAGATCTGGACAATTTAGGGGGGGAAAAAGATGGAGGCCCAATTGTCATCTTGTTGCCTATAAAGCTAGTGTTGAAGAATGTGGCTTCTATCAAGGAGCAAATAGGTTTCCTAATTGGAACCCCAGAATTGCATTGCGCTCCATCCATCTACAGGATATGCTAGGCTGGGGCAGGCCTCCCCAAATGGGGGCAGGTTCCTGTGGGAGGTCAGATCAGACAGTCACATGTTCTGGGTGGCCCTCCCATTCTCAAGAAAAGGAGAAGAGGAAGAGGAAGAACTATGTGGCCAAGTCCTCCGAAATCACCAGCCCATGGACGGGAGAGTGGAGGGAGGCCTGGAGTGGATGTTACCAGAGCTTCCCCCATATGGAAGGAGACCTAACGAGTGAGGGTGCCCCCTCTCCCGCCCACTACCAACCCCTCCACCAAAACAAGTCTTCCTGTGGGTGACCCAAATAGGCGTCCAGTCACTGGGGATTTCTCTCCTTTCCATCTTCCCTTCTCCCTGATGCTCACTCCTTCACTACGTTCCTCCTCTCCCTCAACCCAGTTGACCCAGTAGAATTGGCCCATGATGATGTTCTAGTCACTGTCCCTTTCTCATCTCCTTGGATAAATCAAACATAATTCATCTTTTTATCCCAAAAAAGGTGGCGTACATATATTCTCTGAAACAGGGATCAGGAAACTACAGCCTGACACCTGTTTTGGTAAATAAATTGTATGGGAACACAGGCACATTGCATTGATTTATATATTGTCTGTGGCTGCTCTCAGCTACAATGGTAGCGTCCAAAACTTGTGACCGAGACCATATGGCGCATAAGCCTAAAATATTTACTATCTATCTAGCCCTTTACAGAACAAGTTGCCAAACCCTAATCTAAAATATAGATGAATTTCTCTTCAGTCTAAGTTCTGAAAGAGCTTCATTAATATGCATATGTAGTCTTTATCCTTTCCTCACTCTAAATAAAAACTACAGTCTACACCAAGAAAAGCATATGGTTGTAGTATAAGAGGGATGCTTCCTCTTATAAATTGTTTCCAACCTTACAATCTTCTGAAAAACTATCAAGGGGCTTGTGTGTTTGCTTTGAAGGACCAGAAGAAAGGACAGAGGCTTGTCCTGGCCCGAAGGATTTGGTGTCATCAGTGGAAAGAGATCAGATCATCGATGGGGCCTATGGAAGCAAAAAGGAGTAGAGAGGAGTGTGTAGGGGTCTAGGGGGTTGGACCAACACAAGCTTGTCCTCAGAGAGCAGGAACCCTGTGCTCTTCTCTTCAGACCCTGTTCCCTAACTCAGGGACCTGATTCCTCCCACCTCAGCCCCCATCCCTCAGAACCTTGCACAGAATCCCAGGAGATGTCAGGAGACCAGGTGCTGCTCCCACCAAGACTGCCTTCTACCTGGGAGACCTCGGACATGTCACTGAGTGCTCTGCCCCTTAGGGTTCACTTCCCTGTAAACTGGGGGATTCGGGGTGAAGGGTGTCTTACTGAGCCATAGTGAGAGTCAAATATGGTGTGAAAAAAGGCTTTAGGAAATGTAAAGTACTGTGAAAATGTTGGTTGTTTCTGTTCTATTTAAATAGCTGACTTGCAAGTGAAATTTTTGACTCTATCCAGCATATAAATTAGAGCTAACTGATGTTTGAAAACGGAAGTACTTATTTCGATCGGTCACATGCACCTTTATTTATTGTTAAAGTATCTAATTTTCAGGTGGGTTATAAAAAAAGGGATAAAGTAACTGAATTTTTACCATACTAGAATAATTCTTAAGTGGGAGAAAAAAACTTCAAAAATCCTATTTCTTTGTAACCTGTTTTTTTTTTCCTGTTTGTCGTTTGTGTAGTTTTCATTTCATGCCTTTGTTTATAGAGCATAATCTTGCAGATGGCATTTTTCCTTGTAATCAGTTATTGTCCTATCTGAGTCATCGCCAGACATGGCATTTCAGTAAATAGTGATTACAATCACTTCCAGGCGAATGTGTTGTGTGATGTCAGGAACACTGGCTAATAACCTTTCTGGTTATTCAAGCAGTAGGGAGGAATAAAGTTTTGTATAGATACCTTGATATCAGAAAATGGCAAAGGAGGCCCATTAAATGCTTTTAGCCAAATGATTTCAGGCAAGTACAGTGTTTGTGTGGCTATGCGATGGAGCAATAATCATTTTAAAAGGTAAAAAAAAATCTTTCATATTGCATGATACATATTTTCTTATGAACATCATACATGGGAATTATTAAACACACCTTAACCTAATTATACATACTTGAATTTCCTTGGCTGTTTATGCTGCCATGGTCTCCACCTATAAAACCATGCAAATTAAACTCCCTGCGCATTGATTTTGTCACCTCTAAATTGGGGGTTGATTATCTGATCCCAAACTTTCAGGGAGAAGCTAGATTTCTGAAAATCAGGCTTTTTTTGATATGCAAATAAATGGTTACTTTAAACAGTTGCTTTAATAATCAGGGAAAATGGTTTTATGAGATCCTAGGTCACAAAAGTAGGTTGATGTTATTTTTCACTTAATTATTAACTTCATTATCCTATAGCTACAATGTGAAAGCTCCTAATGACTTTGTTTCAATTTGATTTTTTAAATCATTAACTGTTTTTAAAATCTAGTAAGTTATACCATAATTATGGATCACTAGTAACAATACATTATAGTGGTATTTAAGAAATTTGCCTTTTAAGTTTCACAAATATGTTTGAGAAGAGACTAAGTATATGCTCAAATACAGTGTTTATTACATACCATTTATATTTATTACAGCTTTATAGACTGGAAACTATAAAGAGAAGTTCACTAAATTATTCTGCTAGTATTTATTGAACACCTATTATGTGCAGGGTCCTGCCTAGCAATTATGTTACACATAGCTGAGAACAAACCTTATAGGCTAGAGAATAAACATTTTGGGGCATTAACTTTAAGTAAAATAAGTATCTTATGTAAGTAAACTACCAATTTAATTCTTGCTTCATGATTTTAGAATTTAACAGAATTTTGCTTTATAATTTTCATGAGGTTCATCCTTGCTTATAGCCATTGGTAAATTAAACTTTTGTGTTTCATGTGGAAAAGTAAGGTTAGCCAAGACTTTCATACTTTATCTCCAATCAAGACTTCTGACCTTCCTTAAATTAACAAATTCCTAACCTTTAATGTTAGCCAAGTCATCATCTATGAATTTTGTAACCTTACCCATTATAGAAATTCCTGAGCTGGCTGAAATTTATGGTTTGTGCAGTTTACAATTTACTATGTTAACCTCTCATTATGCTTTAAAGAAGTAGGGTAATTGTTTTTTTACATACCATGTGTTAACCACAGATCATTTGTGATAATAATTAATATAGGCCATTAATAAATTAAATTATGCTTATACTTACCTGACTATGTTTGTGTTGATCCTATGTCTCTGGAGACAGTCTATTCACCAACTTCACTGAGTCATATAACCCACCGAGGTTCCAGCCTTAGGAATCAAAGTATTAACTGAAAGCTAATTTATGAATTTGTCTATTGTTCTTTCCTGCTGTAAAGTTTGTTTGACATTTGGTTAATTGTCACATACAAACACATATATCTACTCTGAAGCAAATCCTCAGAGACACAAAAACTTAGAGTAATCCTCATTAAAAACTAATTTGGAGGACAGTTATTTATATTATAAATATTTTTATTTGAAAATAATTGGCCTTATCTTTAAGTTGTAAGCCTTCCTAGTTTATTTCAAATATGACTTGATTTACAAAATGTGAATTCACTTGATTTTTCCAGAGTAAACCAGTATAAAGCAGGATACATTTCTGGCTTAGGTTGTATGTATATATATATTTATGGATGATTTATGAGACCTCTATAAAATTAGTGCTGTTAAAAACTTATTTACTTTGTAACAAGGGAAATAGTAGTTGATTCCATAATGTGAAACATATAATAACAAAAGATATTTCAAATAAATAGATCATTTGGCCTTAATGGTATGATAAAGTTGTTTTTGTTTTGTTTGTTCTTTTGCTTCTTAGGAGATACAGCCGATGAGCAAAGAATGGAAGCAAGAGATAAAACTTCAGAAGTAGATGGCAGTCAACCTTTGGAGGTAAGTGAAACTCAATGAGTCCACTTTGGGGTGAAGCTGAACAAGTCACTAAGATTATATATTTCTCTGAGGATAAATAGTAACTTCTACTCTTGCTATGCAGACAGGTGTCTCGATACCAAGAAACAAGTGACCTACTCAAAGTCAGGGGATGACAGGATAGGGAGTGACTTCCTAAGTGCTAAGCTTTTCCTTGTGCTGGAAATGGAAATTTTGTGTTGAAATAAAAAAAAGAGGAGTAGAGCATTCAAGTTAAAACATTTGAACTATTTTTAAGTGATTATTTTCTAATGCATTTGACTAAATAGATAATATGTGAACATATGATAGGTTTAAAATGATCTATTCAGAACTATATTACATTACCATTTTCAACATCAAAATGCAGTCCTTGACATTGTTTAGTAGAGAGATTAGGGTATGTGTTCTTTTCCACGTGGGAAAACTATTTGCTCTTTGACGATGCTTGAAAATGTAGTTACGGGACTTCTGTATAACGTGAAGAAAAATACTAACATTATGTAATCACTGCAATAATTATTTAAGATTTAGAGGGAATGTTAATTGTTAGAGTGGAAGGGATATCCATGAATTTTGAGACTGTACATGGTGACACACCTGTATTTGTATTCTGTTGGGTTGTCGTAAAAGTCATGACGCATTTCTGCAACGAAAAACAGAGAAAAAATACGTCATGACTTTTCCGACAACCCAATAGTTGTAGCACATGAGGGTATTACTGTTTACAGCTGGAGTGGGGTCAGGGCTGTGACCTGTTGGGTTCATCACCATATTGCCAAAGCCTAGCACAAAATAAACATCAAACATTTTGGTGAATGAATGAATATAATCATGAACTGTAAGTAGAAAGTCATATGTATTTTAAGAAGAGAGATTTTTGGTTTTTTATATTCAGGTTTTCCACAATGAGCAGACTTTATAATCAAGAAAAAAATTTATTTAAAGAGTTGATGTAAAAGGTAAATTGATATAGGGGAAGAAAAGAGTCATCGTTCCTATAAAACTGTATGTTCGTTTTTCATGTATGCCTACAACACATTTATTAAGCACTGACTGTATTCAAGGTGCTGTGTATATAGTGGGGGAAAAACAGATACAAGGACAAAGAAATATGTCCAGTCTATACATTGAAGCAACTTGATCTCTTTCATTTATTCAAACATTTAGTGAGTGCTGATGGTTGTGGCATCTTTGATAGGGAATAAGGTTGATGTAGTTGAGGTTTGGAAAAGAACCATCAGGATGGTTTAGAAACCATCCAGGATTACTGAGTTCAGTTGCTTAGTTATGTGATTCACTGGCAGCGTCTGTGGTACTCTGTTATTTTTCAAAGTTGACTCATTGATAGAAACACTTCCAAGATTAATTCTTAAGGAAAGAAGCTTTTGAGCTGCTGATCCTCCCATATTTCAAACTAGCTCATTATTGTGCTGCTGCTTTCTCGTCTCTCCATTATACAATCAATTCTTAATCATAAAGAGTGGATTTACTCATATGTACTCCTGCTATAACAGGTATTTGAAAAATGCCTGCTATTTAAATAGCTGTTGGGCACTCAGAGGGCAGTGTTTGCTATGAAGGAGCTTACTTATGTAGCAAAAAAGAAATAGGGAGACTGCATGTGAGACCACAGGGTTAAATCGTGGTACAAGAGGATAATAATAAAATACTTTTAGATGCTATGTATGATTTGCCACAGCAGAGCCAAAGAATCATTTACCTCAATCTTAATATCTCAAATGGAATTCATTATTCCTCTCCTTTCAAGATCAAAACCAAAAACATTGCTGCATGTTTCCCCATTTTCCCCCCACCCCATAGTCTACCTTGATTAGTTAAGATGAGTCTTATCCAGTCTCATGGAAAGGTCCATTGATAGATAATGGACCAAAGACTGTGTGGTACATCCCATCCACAGCTGCCTTTCTGCCCCTTGATCTTGTGACGCTCTGTCCCATCTGAGCCTTTACATTTGCTCTCTCTTCTTTACCAGAGCTTCCCTTGGCTGCCTTCTTAGGTCAAGTGTCACTTTTCATGACTACCTCAGCTAAAGTGTCCCTTCCTCAGCCACTGTCACATAACACTTTTTTAAATCCATCATGTTTATCACTATATCAGATTATTGAGTTTACTGCCTGCCTTCCCTGACTAGAATGAAAACAGACCTTGTGTACCTAGAATAGTGCCTGGTACATAGAAGGTGCTCAATAAATACACGTTTACTGGTAATTTAGATTTCATTTAACGTCATCTCTGTCTGCCAAGTTAAGGGCCTAAAATTACCATTTTGACTCCTTCTTCTCACCCTCTTAATCAAATCTATCAAGTCCTATTGATTCTACCTCTCAAATATCTTCTGTATCCAGTTCCTTATACTCCAAGTAGGTCCTTATCTGTTCACCAGACTGTTATTACACGAGCAGTTTCTTTCCCAAATGTCTTTCTAAAAGAAGAGCAAGTTTTGTTACTTCAGGCAAGATTTTTGAAATCTGCAGAAGAAAGCTTACACCCAAAATCCTGTTCAAATGTCACCTCCTTTGTGAACTCTTTTCCCTTCTTCCTCAGCCAGAGATAACCACAAAGTCCTCTTCTGCTTGTGTTGTCTGTAAGGTGGAAAGTACACCGTAATCAGACAGTGTGTGACAGAGATGCCATGTCAATGATTTCTGGATGGATAAATGAATAGATAAGTGGTCCTCTGCAAATGCTGATTTATGAGTAAATCTCTTCTTTAAATTCTGTTTTCCTCCTTATAAACAGTTATTTTTTCCCCTCTCTGTTAAAAAAAAAATAATATATATATATATATATATATTTTTTTTTTTCTTAGTTACCCATTTAAAAATCTGTTAATTTACATTATTCTGGGCACTCTTACAACATTAGCAAGGAAAAAGGTAATGATTTCAGTTAGTTTTTAAAAAAAGCAGATATATATCTGATTACGAAGTTGTAATTATTGTACCCAGCAGGAAAGATTTTCATTATTTTAATATTTAATGGCTATACAAGAAATGTTGAAATATTATTTATAATGAGAACACATTTGGTAAGTTAATATGCAGTTCCATAAGGATTAAAAATAACACTCTCAGTTGCCAAAATATAACTCACTTTTCTAAGGACCCTTTGGAGGTGGCTTTTAGTTATAACAAAATAGGTTTTTTGATGAATTCAGATATATAAACAAGTAGATGCCTGCTACTTTTAAGGACATGCAGGGGAGAAGATATAGAGAGATGTAAAGTTCTGTGACTCACACTTACAGAAGCAAAAATTTTCGATCTATTCATGGATAACTAGAAAACTCCACAAGTCACTATAATATAAAATGAAATAAATAAGTTCCTTAAACTCTGTAACTACAAGAATAACTGAGAGTTCCATGGAGGAAGAAATATCATTAGGGAGAGTCAAGGAAGGCTTCCTGCCAAACTCATGTGAGTTTTGAGCCATGAAAGTTTTTTTCTTACTATTTATACAATTAATTTCCATATTATTAAGATAAATTTTTTTTTGAAATGAAATCCTTAAGAACATTTTAGAAATACAGAAGCAAATCATGATATGAAACTACTTTCCACACATGATTCTCAATGACAAATAAGGGGTTAAAAAATAAATTTCATGTGGTCTGTGCTACACTGTAGTTTTAATGGCAGTTAAAATATTTTGTTAAGTCTGTGATATTTTTCCTTACAATTTATAGCTCAAGTATACTTCACAACTGTGTTCCCTCTCCAAGTACAGCTCCGTTGCCGACATCAGGGAAATTCTAACGTCTACGTGGAATATAATTTGAAAAAGGGCTATCTAGTTTGGGCATCAAATTAAGTGAATTTTTACAGAGCTGGATTATGAGATATTTTAATGCATTTACACAAAAGAATATGAAAAGCAGCATATTTATTTGCATTGAGTAATTAGCGGGACTTTTCGCTTTGTGAAACTGAAAATGCTATAGCTTTCATGCCAGAAAAAACTCATAATTTCGCCGTATGTTTATCTCTTCTTCACTTCCTCTCCATATAATTTCTCTCAGTGATGACTTAATTTAGTTACTACTGCTTTTACCTTAGTGTTCCCAGTATATGATCCCAAAGTATATCGCCACCTAAAATAGGATAATGTAAGGAAACATTGAATTAATTTTGTCAATCAAATGCAGTTTTTCTCACATTGTGCTTTAGTCTGTGTTTTATGAGCCATTGGTAACTTTTAACAGAATTCACTGTTTCGCGTGTGTAGAGTGTAAGCTCCTGTAAACCCATGTTTGGGCTTATTAAAATTAAAGTCATTAGATTCTAGTACTTGGGGGAAAGTTATAATTCGGAACTAATTATCCAATTGGAGGACTAGCCACCTCATTCTGTTCCTTTTTTTCTTGTCACCTTTCTGAATACATCTTGGCAGTGAGTGGTCATGACACTGCAACCACTTAGTGCTTTCTGCATGGCTAGGAGCTCAAGGGGGATAAAACCACAGATTCAAGGGAGGCCCAGTTTTGAGTTTTTGCCTTTATGACTTATCACCTCAGAGAATTAACATTACAATTAAGTAAGTAATTAGTCATTCTTTTCTAATCTTAAGCCATGGAAAGTGTTTCATATTGTGAAAACTGGAACCACATTAGCTACTAATTTACAAGTAGACCTATTCATGTTTGATTTTGTAGGTATATTTTGAGAGCTATGAATATGTAAATTTCAGTTTTTAATATAATTATTTCCAATTTTGGTGACTACTAATTTTTTTCTAATTTTAACGGACACTTTTAGACTGTTTGTTGAACATAAATTTCTTTTATATTTGCATTATAAAAATTATTTTTAAATGTGCATTTATTTTTAGTCTCCAAGACTGAGAATATGTTTATTTATTTAGTTCACTGGACTAAGATAGCAAAATACAAAAACAAGCCAATAAAAAACTCCCCACAAAGCCACAGTTCCGTTTGTATATTTGTCTGGAGTGACAAC